CACAAATACATGTATGAGAATAATCATAGCAACATTATTCATATAGCCAAAAATATGAAGCAATCCAAATGTCTTCCAGTTGCTGAGTAGATAAATAGTTTGTGGCATATCCATATAATGGATTACTATTCAGCAATTAAAAGGAACTGAACTATTGATACATATCGATGAATCTCAAAAGCCTTATTCTAAGTGAAAGAAGCTAGATACAAAACACAATATATATACTGTTTGATTTAATGTACACGAAATGTCCAGAAACAGCAAATCTGTAGAGATAGACAGCAAATTAATGTTTGGCTGGCTGAGGGAGTAAAACTGCAGACTGACTCCAAAAAGACATGAGAGAATTTTGGATGGGTGATGAAATGTTCTCAAACTGAATTGTAAGTGATGGTTTTACAACTTTACAAATTCACTAAAAACCATGTACACCTATAGTGGGTGGGTTTTATGGTATGTAAATTATACCTCAATAATACTATTTAAAACATTGCTTTAAAAAATAACTAGTAAGCCCTGGCCGGTTTTGCTCAGTGGTTAGAGCATTGGCCCACGGACCGGAGAGTCCTGGGTTTGATTCCCACTAAGGGCACGTATTTAGGTTGCAGTTTGTCTCTGGCCCTGATTGGAGTTGTGTGGGTGGTGACCACTCGATGTGTCTCTCTCATGTTGATATTTCTCTCTCTCTCTCATCCTCCCTCTCTCCCTCCTGCTCTATCTGAAGATAAATGCAAGAATGTCTTTGAGTGAGGATAAAAAAAAAAAATAGCTAGTAAGCCTAAACGGTGTGGCTCAGTGAATTGAGTATTGTCCCATGGACTGAGACGTCCCGGTTCGATTCCTGGTCCGGGCACATGCCTGCATTGCAGGCCCAATCCCCAGTGAGAGTTGTGCAGGAGGCAACTGATCGATGTTTCTCTCACATCGATGCTTCCATTTCTCTCTCCCTTCCCCTCTCTTTAAAAAAAAAAAAAAAATTTTTTTTCATTACTGATTTCAGAGAGAGAGGAAGGGAGAGGGATAGAGATAGAAACATCAGTGAGAAAGAACATTGACTGGCCGCCCCCTGCATGCCTCCCTTACCCCCACCCGGGGATTTAACCCACAACCTGGGCATGTACCCAGACTAGGAATCGAACTGGCGACCTCTTGGTGCATGGGTTGACGCTCAATCACCACTGAGCCACATTGGCCGGGCCTTCCTCTCCCTCTTTAAAAAAAAAAAAAAAAAAAAGTAAGCAAAATATCCTATACAGAATCCCTCCACCCAAAATATTTATCAGGTAATCCTGTACAATTTATTTTCTATCATAATGCTTTACCATACAGTGACCTCTACTGGCAAAAAGAAGAGATTTTGATTAGTTGATCACTAGTTGCTTTAAGTTTGTATATTTATACTGTATCATAGATGGCTATGGTTTCTTAAAAGAAAATGCTTAGGATTATAAAGTCTAAAGTATGCCCACTGAGAAAAACAGTAGATGAAGTAAGAACAAAATGAAATAAGAAGCAGAATCAAACTCACTTCCAATGTAAACTACTGCTGACTAATCTCCCCTAGTCAATCCAGGAAACAGAAAGCACATTCACAGAAAGATAAAAATGGAAAGCCCATTATTATAGGTTTATGCTACATAAATAAAATATAAACTTAAGAAGTAACTTGATTCTTTCACCTTTAGAGGACAGAATAGCATAATGATGAAAAGAACACAAGCTTGGGCTTGGATTCAAATTCTAGCTCCAACTTTTCTTAACTCACTATGTGACTTTGGGTTTATTATTTAATTCATGAACACTTCAGTCTCCATTTTTATTAAATGGAGAAAATATTTTCTCTCAAAGCACTCTTTTGAGTATTGCTTAACTCACAGTAATCATTTAATAAATATTCACCATAATTATTGCTATTTCTGTGTAGAAGCTGACAAATTTTTATTTTAAATGGTCATTAAGTTTAAAAAATTACATATTTAGCCCTGGCCGGTTTGGCTCAGCAGTTAGAGTGTCGGCCCGCAGTCTAGAGAGACCCGTGTTTGGTTCCCGCTAAGGGCACGTACCTCAGTTGCAGTTTATCCCTGGCCCCAGTTGGGGTCGTATGGGTGGCAACCAATCAATGTGTCTCTCTCACACTGATGTTTCTCTCTCTCTCTTCCTCCTTCTCTCCCTCCCTCTATCTGGACACATGCAAAAATGTCATTGGGTGAGGATTAAAAAAAAGAAAAGAAAAAAATTACATATTTATAAGATTCAAATTTACCAAACATTTATTGAGCATCTATTAGTCCAAAACGCTGTTTAAGTTTTATAAAGAAACAGTTGTTGAAACACTGAAAAAAAACACTTCAAAAACGATTGAAAATAATTCAAGAGCTAATTATTCATCAACATTGAAAGATGTTAGTTGACTCAGTGGTTAGAGTTTTCCTGAGCACCAAGGGTTCCAGGCTTGATTCTTGGCCATGGGCACGTACTGGGTTGTAGGTCTGATCCCCAGCCCTGGTCAGGGCACATGTGGGAGGCAACTAATCGATGTCTCTCTCTCACATCAATGTTTTTTTCTCTCTCTCTCCCCTGCCCCTCCTTTACTGTTTTGTTTTTTATTCCTCACCCAAAGATATTTTCCTATTTATCAGTAGATACAGTGGCAGGGAGGGAGAAAGAGAAAGAGACAGAGAGAAACATCAATGTGATAGAGCCACATCGACTGGTTGCCTCTCGCAAGACCCGACCAGGGCCAGGGATGAACCACAACCAACGTACGTGCCCTTGACTGGAATCAAACCGTTGACTCATTGGTCCATGGGCTCTAACCGCTGAGCCAAACTGGCCAGGGCCCCCCTTACTGTTTTTATAAGCACATGTATATATTTATAAACAGTCACAGAAATACATCTGATTGTAAACCAAAATCAACTGATGGCCATCTCTCAGTAGTGTGATAAAAAACAATTTTATTTATCTTATTTTTTCTCATATATTTTCTAATTTTTGCACTATAAATATTTAATACTACTATTTTAAAAAAGGGAAAAGTTGGCCCTGGCCAGTATGGCTCAGTTGGTTGAGCATCATTCTAGGCAACAAGAGATCTCAGGTTCAATTCCCAGTCAGGGCACATGCCCAGATTGGGGGCTCGATCTCCAGTCGGGGGCATGGAGGAGGCAGCCAATAGATGCTTTCCTCTCCCTCTCCCTTCCTCTCTCTCAAAATTAATCAATAAAAACATATTTAAAATAAAAACGAAAAGTTGAAGAGACCTCAATCATTAATTATTAACATTGTAAACCAATTAGTTCAGATAGTATATAGGCCATTAGCATCCTGGGTTAGAATCAGAAAAGCAAGACCTACAGGGTACAGAATACACTGTGATCTTCAATTTATGAAGATTAAAACAGAACAAAGAATGGTTCTCTTGGTTAGGGATGCCACAGAAAGCGGGGTCACTGGGCCACAAGAGAAGGTGGTTATTTTCTACTAGGATAGTTGGCAAGAGTGAGGCATGACCTGACTCTCAATAAATGAGCTGCAGCTGAGTCCAGCGCCTCTGGTGACTCAGGTGTTACTGGAATTTATATCTCAGTCCAACTAATAGAAATGAAGCCCACCTAGGAGTCCCCAACATTATCTTTCTAATTATCAGTCATACAAAAAGGAAAATCTGACATCTCCCCATTGGTTGGTTAAAGTAGAAGGGGCAGTAGAAGTAACAGTAGTTACTTCCCAAGATGTGCTCTTTCTTAAAATTTTTCAATTACAGTCAACATTCAGTACTATTTTATATTAGTTTCAGATGTACAACATAGTGGTTAGACATTTATATAATTTACGAAGTGATCACTCCAATAAGTCTAGTACCCATCTGGCACCATACATAGTTATTACAACATTATCTTCTCTATGCTGTACTTTATATCCCCATGACTATTTTGTAACTACCAATGTGTACATTTTTTTTTTATCCTCACCCGAGGACATTTTTGCATTTATCTTCAGACAGCGCAGGAGGGAGAGAGAGGAAGAGAGAGAGAAAACAGACATGAGAGAGACACCTCGAGTGGTCGCCACCCACACGACCCCAAATGGGGCCGGGGACAAACTGCAACCAAGGTATGTGCACTTAGTGGGAACCGAACCCTGGTCACTCTGGTCCAAGGGCCAACACTCTAACCACTGAGCCAAACCGGCCAGGGCCCAATGTGTACTTCTTAATCCCTTCAACTTTTTCACCCAGCCCCACAACCGCCTCCCATCTGGCAACCATCAGTTTTTATAATTTTTTTTTCCTTTATTGAGTTTTAGAGAAAGAGACAGCAACGTCAATGAGAAAGAACATCAACTGGCTGCCTCCTGCATGCCCCCCACTGAGGATCAGCCCCACAACCCAGGCATGTGCACCCTGACCAGGAATCGAACTGGTGACCTCTTGGTGCATGGGTTGACGCTCAACCACTGAGCCACACCGGCCAGGCAACCATCAATTTTTTTCTTTGCCATCTATGAGTCTGTTTCTGTTTTGCTTGTCTGTTTATTTTCTTCTTTAGGTCCCACATATAAGTGAAATAATATAGCATTTGTCTTTCTATGACTTACTTCATTTAGCATAATACTCTCTAGGCCCATCTATGTTGTCACAAATGGTAAAATGTCATTCCTGTTTATAGTCAAGTAATATTCTATCATATACATGTACATAACGTTCTTTATCCACTCGACCACTAATGGGTACTTGGGTTGCTTCCATATCTTGGCTATTCTAAATAATGCTGCAATGAACATAGGGGTGCGTATATCTTTTTGAATGAGTGTTTTGAACTTCTTCTGATAAATACCCAGAAGTGAAATTGCTGGGTCATAATGTAGTGCTATTTTTAATTTTTTGAGGAACCTCCATACTGTTTTCCATAGTGGCTACACCAATCTGCAATCCTACTAACGATGTACTTGCCATTTGTTGATTTATCAATGAATTAATGAAACTGAAAACTCACCTGAAAACATTTTTACAAAATCATCAGTAGACATATTCATTACTACATCTGCCTCATCAGTTGGCTCTCCTTGTCCGGCATTCCCACCCTTGTTCTTTAGATCAAGAAACCACGTTCCACCATCTTCACCTGCACAGAAGATAAAGATACAGAAATAAATGCCAAAGAAGCCCTGGTCGTCTTAAACTCAATAATTTAGAATAATATTACATACTGTTGTTTCCCAAGCTAAAATCAGGTGTCTATCAATTGCAGCAAATATTTATTAAGCTAGGCTAGGCTCTGAAGACTCTGCAACAACATGGTTCTTACAAAAGAGGAATTGGAGGGTGATGTGGAGTCAGGAAATCCCAACTGAAGCTGAGATTTAAAAGTTAACTAAGAATTAGCTGACAAGGAACTGAAAAAAAAGTAGAGTAGGACCAGAAGGTAAAAAGAGAGTGGACAGTGGCATCAGATGAGCTTGTAAAGCAGTCAGATGTGTGCAGTGAGCCATGTACAGAATGTATCAATTGCCTTCATCCTAAGGGGCAGGCTGTAGAGTGACCTGTGTCTGTATTTTAAAAGTGTAAAGAATATACTGGAGAGGGATAAAAAGGATGCAGAAGACTAATTAGATGGAGTTGGGTAATTTAGGAGTCTGGATCAGGGTCATGGCAGTGGGAATAGAGAAAAGTAGGCACATTTGAGAAATAATTTCAAACCAGGACCACAGGACTATGTAACCGATTGAATGTGAAGAGGAAAAGGTGGAGAGGGTACATAAGAATGATTTACTAGTTTTGAGCTTGGGGAATGGTAAATATTGGTGTGTTTTTTACTGACAGAGAACTACTAAAGAAGAGCAGATTTAACAGGTAGTGACAAAGGCATCTACTAGGAATGATGAGTTGCTCTGGACAGTTTCAAACTGAGGCATCTTTGTGACAGCCAAGTGAGTATACCAAATGAAGTCTGACTAGACTAGACATACAAATATATAAGTAATCAGTTCATATGGTCATTGAAGTCATGTGAAGGATTTGAGTTTCCCAGCCAAAGTCTATAGCGTGATAAGACAATGACCTGAAGAACATCCTTGTAGGACAAAGAAGCATGACAGAGAAGACTGAGAAGGCATGATTACAGACAGAGAAGGAAAGCTACTGTCAAAGAAGCCAAAGAAAGGGAGAATTTCCAGAAGAAAAGAGTGGTCAACACCATCAAATGCTGCAGCATTGGGACAAGGTAAGAGTGACAAATGCCCACTGGTGACACAGAAGCCACCAAGGACCTTGGTAGTGGAATGAGGAAAAATGATCCCAGAGCAGAGTGAATCCTAGATGAAAATATGTTTTGCTTATTGTGATTTGTTGTGTTTGTTTAAAACACAGAAGAAACTGAGAATGTTAAAATACATCTGGGAAGGAAGCTGCAGAATGAAAAGGTGGAAGAGCGGGCATAATAAATAGCACAAAGTCCCTGAGGAGACCAGAGAAAATGGCATCTGGAACACTGCTATTCACTGTATGATCGACGGACTGATGTACTATTATAATCTGTCAGAAATGCAGAATTCAGACCCCACCTCAGAAATACTACTGAATCAAATTCTACATTTTAGCCTGAATCCAAGTAATTATCATGAACATTAAAGCTTGAAATGCACTCATCTAGAGTTGAGCTCCATTCTATTGGGAGGGGAAGAAGAGAGGATGATGCCTACCTATAATGGTTAATTTAATATCACATAAAAGAAACTGAGCTCTTTTCCTCCCTGGTTGCTTGAACATCAGCTTCCATCATGAATGACACAGTAACTACCCGGACCAGGAAGTTCATGACCAACAGACTACTTCAGTGGAAACAAATAGTCATTGATGTCCTTCACCCTGGGAAGGCAACAGTACCCACGACAGAAATTCGGGAAAAACTGGCCAAAATGTATAAGACCACACCAGATGTCATCTTTGTGTTTGGATTCAGAACCCATTTTGGTGGTGGTGAGGCAACTGGCTTTGGCATGATTTATGATTCCTTGGATCACGCAAAGAAAAATGAACCCAAACACAGACTTGCAAGACATGGCCTGTATGAGAAGAAGGAGACCTCCAGGAAACAGAAGGAACACAAGAACAGAATGAAGAAAGTCAGGGGTACGGTAAAGGCCAATGTTGGTGCTGGCAAAAAGTGAGCTGGAGATTGGACAACAGAAGAAGTAAAGATTCTTCAGTGATGCCCTGGCTGGTTTGGCTCAGCGGTTAGAGCGTCGGCCTGCGGTCCAGAGATTCTTCAGTGACTTTATCTGTGGTGATTGTGCAGATTTTTCATGAGAGGATTAATAAATAAAACTTTTATGTGAAAAAAAAAGAAACTGAAATAATTTATTAGGATATAGACAAGAGAGTGGTTGAATCAATGGACATGGGTTCTAAGGACAGAAAAGGAAATAAAAACAAAGAAGGCACAGATGGATTAAGATAAAATAGAGGAGACAAAAAATAAAAGAACTAATAATGTCAAAGTTTACCTACAGTGGGAATGAGGTAGCAAGTTCTTAAAACTGTCATTAACTATACTGGGAAGAAAAATATTGAGAGGTTTTACAAAGCTGACTACACTCAGACTGACCTGAATAATCTCAAAGATAAAAATGGCAAGGTGCCCACGGTAGATGATAAATTACTGTATTATAATACCTGTTATGATCCACATGCCCTTCTAAGTAGGATTTTCTTTCAATTACACCTGCCAAGGAGTCATTTAACACTGGAGTATTTTTAATAAAAATTTATTTCATATGTGTCCATATGCACTGATCTTAAAAATACAAATCAGTAGTTATTTGTTATTCTGAGCTGTCTACATTCTAGTTAAGCATTCTGGATACAGCCAACTAGACAAGGTGATTACTAACTGGAGGCTGATTTTTGTCCAAGGGAAATATCCTACTTTGTTTCCTAAAAGACTCAGATAACCAGATGTAATCCTTACCCGAGAGTTCAAACTGATAAACTGCTTGAGTAGCTTTAACAATGTCATCGCTGAGAGAGGCTTTAACAATCCTAAATGTTTCTTCCACAGTTCCAGAATGTGGTTTCAATGATGGCTGTGGCTTTTCTTCTTTCAACTGTGGGACAGCACCTGCAAAATACCATTAATGAAAATGGCCTTAAAGCCTCGGTAATAGAAGGCCACACACAGAATTAATGATCAGAATAGACTTGCTACCAATTAGACCTATTTGATCAAAATAACCTTAAATACATTCAGTGGCATCTAAAAGCATAAATCAAACTAATGGAATAACAGCCAAACACATCAATTATGATTATAAATGTAAATAGTTTATACTCTCCAAGTAAAAGGCTGATTCTCAGGTTAGGTTTAATTAAAGCAAACCGCTACTGAATTATACAGTGTTTATAATAAATGAACCTAAACAAACTACTGGAGTTTTAGGGGTAATAATTAATCACTCCTTCATCATCCACTCTGAGCTCTACAACCAAATGAGAAAAGAACACACCAGAGTCAGAAAGATGAAGGTATCAACTTCAGTGATCAGCAGAGCTGAACTGGGGATAACAGTCAGTAGAGTTACTAGACTACAACTATGTAAGCTTTAATGGGAAAGATACACTTAGAGCATTTAAATTACTTTATAAAAATAAAGACATACATTCGGAAGATGGTGGCGGGCAGGACCAGAGGGAGGGTGAGTGCGTGAGAGAGTGAGCTAGTGTGTGAGAGAGTGTGAGTGGACGTGAAAGTGGACGACCAAACTCCTGCAGTGCAGAGCCGCGGAGCAGAAGGTCCTGTGCTGTGGACAGAGCAGCCGGCTACCACGGTAAGCGGCCCTTCAGGGCGCTTCTCCCTGTGCTGCGGGGAGGTCCCACCATTTTGGAAGATCTTGGGTCTTCCCTGGGAGGAGGCAGTGGGAGTGGACAGGGCCAAGTAACCTGAGCCCACCAGCACACCTGGCACCACTGACCAGTGAACACTCTGTGTAAACACAGACCAGTGCACAGTAGTGGAGCTGCCAAGGTGCTGGTTGCAGAAGCCGTGGACAGCCCGGAGCCCAGCACCATCCCCCAAAGTAGCAGCCCGATCAGAGTCCAGATATACCCCCAGCAACAGAGGCTGGGAGCAGACATCCATCCCCAGGCAACAGAAGCACAGACCAGTAGCTGAGACCCATCCACAAAAACTACAGCAAAAACTGAGCAGGAGTTGAGCCCCACGGGGCAGCCACTAGCAGCGGGACCTGCGGCAACAGAGAAGCCTGTGCAACACAGCAGCTCACAAGAACAGTGGGAAGCCTGAGCCTGAGAGGGATTGTGCTATCCAGCTGCCCGCCCGTGGGACCTGCAGGATTCAGGGGTACCAGAAGCCTGTACAACCCAGCAGGGACTGTGTCATCCAGTTACCCGCGGGTCCTGTGGGGTGCTGAAACACCAGAGAGGCCTGTGCGACCCAGCAGGGACTGTGTCATCCAGTTACCCGCGGGTCCTGTGGGGTGCTAAAACACCAGAGAGGCCTGTGCGACGCAGCAGGGACTGTGTCATCCAGTTACCCGCGGGTCCTGTGGGGTACTGAAGCACCAGAGAGGCCTGTGTGACCCAGCAGCTCATAACATAGGCATAGAGCCAAGTCCCCAAAGGGACTGTGCAATCCAGTTATCCGCAGAACCTGCAGGGTGTGAGGGCACCAGAGAGGCCTGTGCAAACAATTTGCGTACAAGATAGGCATAGAGGATGTGAAAATGGAGTCAGAGTGAATGGAAGCTACACAGACGATCTCCCAGGACCAAACAGAAATTACAACTAAAATAAAGACAAATCCTCGAAAAAAAGCAACAAAAAAGCAGCAGGACAGGACCATATAACCAGGGCCACTGGTAGGATCTGCGCAGGCACGAGACGGTGGCGGGCTTGGAGCCCATGGACAGCAGCAGTCTTAGCTGTGAGCAGCGCCCTTGGGTAATAAAGACCAAGCCCGCTCCACAGCCCAGAGAGCCGGGTCAGAGCTCTAAAATAGCCACAGCCACTCACCTGGGGTATACTGCAGAGGGAGGGCAGACAGGGCTGGAACTCTGTGGGGAAAACAGAGATTTGGAGGGCACTCAAGAGTTTTTGCTGAGTTGCAGCTACAAAGGACAGTGGCCAATGTGCGCCCCCCTCAGAGATTCAGCCTTTCCCAGGTGAGGCAAAGAAATGAATTGAGGCTCATTAACAACCAGCATCTATCCCACCCTCTGGAAATCCTCTTATGCAGAACACCAGGGCTACATTCCAAGGCACTGGGTAACTGAGACTACTAGCCACCAGGAAAAAGCTAGACAATAATTGAACCTTTCCTGGGCTTGCAAATCTACCCAGGAAAGTAAGACTTGACAGTGGTGCTTAATGTGGGCCCAACCAGGCTCATCCAAACCCAGGAGAGGGAGCCACAAACAGCAAAACACCAACAACCACAGGGAAAATTTGGCAGATTACAAAATGCACTGAGACAGCCAAAATGGTGAAACAAAGAAACAAATCCCAAATGAGAGAACAAGAGAACTCTATCAAAGATGAGATCAATGAAATGCAACTAAGCAAATTATCAGAGGTGGAGTTCAGAGTCATGATCTTGAGGAAGCTCAACAGCATGAGTAAGGACATCAGCACCATGAGTAAAGATATAGAAACACTGAAAACGAACCAAGTGGAAATGAAGAATGACATAGCAGAAATTAAGAACACATTGGAAGGACTAACAAGCAGAGTAGAGGAAGCTGAAAACCGGATGAGTGAATTAGAAGACAGGATGAAAAAAAACCAACCAATCAGAAAACCAAAAGGAAAAACCAGGAAGATAGTTTAAAAGAACTGGAACAAATAAAAACGTAATAACATTCGCATCATAGGAGTCCAAAAAAGCAAGAAAGTGGGCAAAGGTTAGAGAATATATTTGAAGAAATAGTCACAGAATACTTTTCTAATTTGGTGAAGGAAGAAGGCATTCAAGTTCAAGAAGCACAGAGAGCCCCAAGTAAAAAGAACCCAAACAGGCCCACACCAAGACACATAATAATTAAAATGCCAAAAATTAAAGACAAAGAGAGAATCCTAAAGGCAGAAAGAGATAAGCAACAAGTTACCTACAAAGGAACCCCCATAAGGCTCTTAGCTGACTTCTCAACAGAAACACTATAGGCCAGAAGGGAGTGGCATGAAGTAATCAAGGTCATGAAAAACAAGGATCTGAATCCAAGACTACTCTATCCAGCAAGGCTATCATTCAAAATAGAAGGTCAAATAAAGAGCTTCCCAGACAAAAAAAAAAAAAAAAAAAAAAAGGCTAAGGGACTATATTAACACCAAACCGGCACTGCAAAATATGCTAAAAGGACTGCTGTAATTAGTAGAAGAAATAGAAAGAAAAATAGAACCACACCAAACAAAAACCAAACCAGCACTGCAAAATATGCTAAAAGGACTGCTGTAATTAGTAGAAGAAATAGAAAGAAAAATAGAACCACACCAAACAAAAATGGGCATAAATAAGTCCATATCAATTATCACCTTAAATGTGAATGGTTTGAATGCTCCAATAAAAAGACACAGAGTAGCTGACTGGATAAAAAAGCATGACTCACATATATGTTGTTTACAAGAGACCCACCTCGCAACAAAAGACTCACATAGGTTGAAAGTGAAGGGATGGAAAAAAAATCTTTCAAGCAAACAAAAAGCAAAAAAACCTGGGGTAGCAATACTTGATTCTGGTAAAGTAGACTTCAAAATGAAGACCATAACTAGAGACAAAGAAGGCCACTACATAATATTGAAAGGATCTATCCAACAGGAAGATATAACCTTGATAAACATATATGCACCCAATATAGGAGCACCAACATATATTAAAAATCTTCTGGAGAATTTCAAAGGAGAAATCAACAGCAACACAATCATAGCAGGGAACTTCAACACCCCGCTGACATCACTGAATAGATCATCTAGACAAAAAATTAACAAGGAAACAGAGACTCTAAATGAAGCACTAGATCAAATGGATTTCATAGATATCTACAGAGAATTACACCCCAAAACTGCAGAATTCACGTTCTTCTCAAGTGCACATGGGACATTCTCAAAGACAGACCACATGTTAGGGCACAAACTAAGTCTCTACAAGTCCAAGAATACTGAAATCATATCAAGCATCTTCTCATATGACAATGGCATGAAACTAGAAATCAATTGCAACAAGAACATGCAAAGACATTTGAAAACATGGAGGCAAAATAGCATGATATTGAACAATGAATGGGTTACCGAGGAAATCAAGGAAGAAATTAAAAACTTCCTGGAAACCAATGAAAATGAAGACATAACAACACAAAATCTATGGGATGCAGCAAAAGCAGTTCTGAGAGGGAAGTTCATAGCACTACAGGCCTACCTCAAGAAACAAGAACAATTTCTAATAGACTATCTAACCTCACAAATTAAAGAACTAGAGAGAAAACAAAAAGAAAACCCCAGAGCAAGTAGAAGGAAGGAAATAGTAAAGATCAGAGCAGAAATAAATGACATGGAGACCAAAAAACAATTCAAAGGATGAATGAAACAAAGAGCTGGTTCTTTGAAAAGATAAACAAGATTGATGCACCCTAGCTAGACTCACCAAGAAACAAAGAGAGGGGACCCAAATACACAAAATCAGAAATGAAAGAGAAGTAACAACTGACACCGCAGAAATACAAAAGATCGTTAACAACCACTATGAACAAGTATCTGGCAACAAATTCGACAATCTAAGCAAAATGGACAAATTTCTAGAAACACATAGTCTCCCAAAACTGGACCAGGAAGAGATAGAAAACTTGAACAGACCAATAACAACAGAAGAAATTGAAGATGTAATCAAGACTCTCCCAGCAAACAAAAGCCCAGGCCCAGATGGCTTCACAGGAAAGTTTTACCGAACATTCAAAGAACATTCTCCTCAAACTATTTCAAAAAATTCAAGAAGAAGAAAAAGACTTCCAAACTCGTTTTATGAAGCCAGCATAATTTTAATTCTAAAACCAGAAAAAGACACTACAAAGAAAGAAAACTACAGGCTAATATCTCTGATGAACATAGACGCCAAAA